AATCGATAAGTTTAATTTTCGACTCGCCTCTCTTCCTGAGCATCACATTTTCTGGCTGCAACAAAATACTCCTCGATGGAGAAAAAAAAACTGCGAAATCTGCCAAAAACTCAAAAAAACAAATATCATGCGTGCTTCGAGCACACAGCATCATCGCATAAGGAATTTTTAAGACGATTTTACGAAGAATCTGGGCAGTTTAGGAGAAAGATAAACCTTGATATCCAGATGTACGACATGATTATCATGCAGGTGTTTGACGCCGAGCAAGATTTGTTGGATAAAAGCAGATGCTTCGGCTTCATCAAGGCACTCTTTGGCTGACACATGGTCGAATAATTCACCGCCCGAAACCCTTAAAAACATTATCTAATTGTGCAAAAATTGCAGAATAACAGTGAACTGTAATTTTATTATTGTAAAATGTCAATTTCAGTTAGTTGTCAATCACGAGTTTCGCGTTTCTCGTTTTCGAAAAGTAACGACGGGTAATTTGCTATCGTATTTTTAGGAGTTTTTTGTTCGAGCAAAAAAATCGTTATTTCAGGAAGCAAAATGATTATGAATTCTAAAATACAGCAAAAATTTAAATTAGTCCAGACAGGCTGATATTTGAGTATTTGATTCGAAGTGTCCGCTACGCAGTACCACTCCTTCGAAAGTCACCAAAGTGAACATCTTTTTGAGTTTTTCATGACAGCAAAAAAGAATCTTATCAATAATCAAGTGATTACCAATTCCCAAATCTCTTAAGCTCAGATACGTATTGAGATGTTGAAAAATGCATTTGGTTCGAATTAACTACTAATAATGTACATCTATCTATTCGAAAAAGTCGCATAAGTGCTTTTTCTATTTAAGTACCACTCATTACCACAATGTCCACTAGCTGCTAGTAAAATGATCACTGGGCCTTACTCAAGGGATTTTACTTTCTCACATGGTCATAACATATCTCCCATCCCCTCCCCCACTTATGTTAAGAAACAGGACAAAGTATTACTTTCAGTATAACTGACAAAGTATTACTTACAGTTCTAGGACCAGTATAACATCGGATGGTGTTTCGAAAACCTCGAACAGCTTGATGGTATGTTCGTGACCACCAACAGCTCGCAGGACATCTACTTCACGCTCGATGTTACTGCGCGTTACGCCGCGACGTGATGTTGCATATCGTCGCTTTTTGATAAATTTCGCGGCATACTGCTCGCCAGTTGTACGGTCAATTACACGACGAACTACCGCAAACTGTCCACTGAAAGAAACGCTTGCTGCTTGAGAAAACCATAACCGGCACACTTCCAGGACGATATTGCTTCAGGAATTGGATTTTTTGTAAGCCTGTTTTTTCAGTTACAATTTGCTCCACTAAACCTAATCTCTTTGGAAAAGCTCCAAAACGACAAATAAAGGAACAGAAAAGAGGACTGGATTACAGTTTTTAAGGTATCCCATCAAGAGGCTTTACAGTGAGGTTTAAAATTTGACTTCCCACCGGACTTTCCAATTGTGCGTGGGACTTCACAAATTCAGTCGAAGGTTTAAATTCCGCATATTCGCATTCTGTGAGAAAACGGATACGTGCAGTTTTGACCTTTGACTGGATTTTTTAGGTAATAGAAGTTAATAAGCGTGTGCGGTGCCTTAAAGGAGCAAAAGTTCAGAAGCGCGTAAAATATCTTAACAATTACCTTAAGAGTTGATGCTGTGATGATTTGACAATGAATATATTTGAAGCACAAAGATAAAATCAAGCAAAAAAGAAAAACAACGAAAACAACAGAATGTGGTACTCACTTGCCGAGCTCTTCCGCAATTTCGTAGCGCTGCTCAAAGGGA